AATAGTATTAGGATTAATAAAGCTCAAAATAAGTCAAGATTGGCAAGGAGAGTTAGGAAAAGGCTTTTTATTTAAAGGTGTATTGGAGAAAAGGGGAGAATCAAAGAAGGGAAAGGATCATGACTTGAGATGAATGAGACGATGGTAACAGACAACACTGAGAAGGCAGAGTGGCTCAATTTTTATTTTGCCTCTACTCTACTTTGCCACTAAGAATGACCTTTGGACTGGGAAAGACAGGTCAAAACTGGCCAATAAGGAGTTGATATCCAAATGGATCAGTGATCTCATTGATTTAGGAGTTCTTTCCAAAAAATACAGATGGCACCCATCCATGTGTGCCCATTCTATTTCTTCTTGTCCATTTTTTTCACAAAAGAGAGTCTATCCAAGATCTTGGAGGATGTCTTGATTTTCTCCAAATATCATGAATGTACCAGCAGGGCCCTCTGACCATCTGCTTGTCATTCCTTGCTCTTGCCATATGACCACCCCATTCTCTCTTCCTATCATACTGTTCCTTGATGATACCCTTTACTCTTGTTCTTCAGAATTGATCTGTTAAATGTTCTGGCCAGTATACACCTACCATGTGTCTTTCCATTGGCCTGTGGGTGATGTTTTTCTTCGGAGGTAGTGGTATTCTACAACTCACTACCATATAGTAATATAGGTAAAATGTTATTATTGAAAAGATGGGCCTTTCATAGGAAGTTTCAGGTCAGTAAAAGAGTTTTATAGAAGTCCAGACTGCTCTCCAACTCCTTTTCAACTCTGTGTCCAGCTTGTTGTCCATTGCATCTGTTTGCCCCATTATATACATACTGTTGGACAGATTCTATAGTGTGTCTACCCAAATGCACACTGAGACCTGGGCAATACAGATCCTTCATTCCTTTGGTATTTCCTGTGTGGACAGTCTGGTCAAACTCTCTTCAGTGATAACACATGCAGAAGTTAAATGAGGGTACAGTTAGAGAGCTTGATGAGTTCAAGTCACCTGACTCAGATGAACATATCCTTGAATATTGAAAGAATTGACAGATGTGATTGCTGAGTCACTGTCAGTGATCTCTTAAATATCATGGAAAATGAGAAAGATACCACAGATATCACACAGATTGAGAAAGATACCATATGTCAGAAAGACAAATGTTTGATTTTTCAAAAGTGATAATAGAATCAGCAAATTATAGGTTAATGTGTTTGACTTTGATTTAATTGTTGTGACACATTATTAAAGAGATGTTGTGATCTCAAAGGGGTAGCATGATTTTAATAAGAATAAACTATTCTAGATTATTCTTCCTTCCTTCCTTGATGGGGTTATTAAACTAGTAGAAAAGGGAAATGCTATAGACAGAGTTTTCCTGAAGGGTAGCATTATATGTTGGCCTCAGAGCCAGCATGATCTGGAAATCTGGTCCTACCTCTGAAAAATATTGTCTGTGAGACTCTAGCCAAGTCACTTACCCTCTTTCAGGACTCTAAACAATTCTTTAAGAACATAAGAGGAAGAGAAACTTCTGATCTGCACTGGGAAAGTGACTTTCCTCATCTCTGAGTTCCTTATATCAGTGAAATCACACTTCTAGTCCCTATCCCTAGAGTTTACCTAGATTTTAGCAAAATATTTGTTAAGGTATCTCGTGCTAGTCATGTGGAAAAATGGAGGAACATGGGAGAGTTGATAGTGCAATTAGATGTTTTGGGAAGTGGTTGAATTGACAGAACCAAAGAGTGAAAAGACAGAACCCATTCAGTCACTTGGGAATAGTCTGGAAGTTTCTTTGATCCCCCAGTGAAGCAGAACAGATCAGACAAAAACAAATGTACAAAGGAGAGACTGTGTAGGAAATAGAGACTGTTATATTAAGAAGACAATAGCCATATGTTATATACTTCTGATAGTATCTCTAGCAAAAGGTCTTTTGCCTTTCTTTGAATTCCCAGCATTAGAGATAGTGCTTGACACACAATAGGCACTTAATAAATGCTTGCGGGCAGTATGACTGCTCTGCAAACCTCCTAACACTATGCAAATATCAGATATTCTTATTACTATTTTTAGCCCTAGGGGCTCAACAAGTTAGAAGGCAGGATTCGTTTTTGGTAGGATCAGGTCTACAGATAAAAATCAATGAATACCAAGTGGACTGTCATACAAATAAGCCAGAGCTACGTGATCTGGGAAAACTGCAGGAGCTTGGAGGTTATAAAGGATGTAATGTCAGGAACATAAAAGATACATACGAAAGAAAAAAAAGCCTTTTACTCAAATGTCAAGCCTGCAAGAAGTTTACCTTTCTTTTATCCTTTTACTGTTTCTTTTGGGGAGCTGAAAGACAGCAGTTTAAAGCAAGACCTTTCTAGTTATACTCCAAAGGCATTCTGTTTCAGAAGCACCCTACCTTTAAGTGCTTGGGTGACTTTCATATAAATGTGATATACTGCATGGCCATGCTGATGACTAAGAAAGGAAGGAGTTAGGAATATAGCTAAGAGCTGGAGCTGAAGCAGTTCCTGAGGCAAATGAAATGAATGGGACGCAGTCAGTAGTGCAGAAGACAAACCCTCTGGGAGTACAGTCACTTCTGGAGGAGGCATCCTGCTCTCTAGAAAGTCTGAATCCTTTGCCCCATGAGGTTTGGGAGAGAAGGGTGAGGCTGGAGAGAGAGTTGCCAGAGTAATAAAATCTTAGGATTAGTAGCCAGAGGTGGTAGCACCTATCATTTCGGGGAGGAAGCCTTCCCCCATATGCCAGCATCCTGGGACAAAGCACTGTTTGTCTCATGATAGTTATGGTCCTGAGTATGGTACATAGAACTTGAAAAAAAGGTTCTGCTCCTTTCGGAGCTTGAGAAAAAACTTTTAAATTGAATGTGAACTGGGCAGGCAATTATATGTGCTTTGTCTCTATGTTTATTCTCTTTCTGTCTCTCCCTCTCCTCTCCTTCTCTCTCTCTCTCTCTCTCTACTTTTCCTCTCTTATCTCCTCTCTTCTTCTGTCTCTCTCTTCCTCTGCTTCTCTCTCTGCTTCTTTTTCTGTCTCTGTCTCTGTCTGTCGGTCAGTCTGTCTGTCTCTCTCTCTCTCTCTCTCTCTCACACACACACACACACACACTTTCCCCTCTCCTATTCTCCCTGGTTCAATAGAGAAGTAAGCTGAGTATAGCCACATGTTTTGCAACAGAGTATTCGATTGGCTAAGCCTCTCCATTGATTTCATTACATATATTTTTAAACAAGGCAGTAGAATGATTGTTAAAATAAGGTTGATAATACTGATAAGTTTGAAATATTTTTTCATAAGCAAGCATTTGTTACTTGGCTGCCATGTGTAAGGAACTATGCTAGGTACTTTAGAGAAGGCAGAAATATCGAAGGTATGATTTCTGCCCTCTAGGAGTCTATAATCCATTCACCATCGATTGGGAATATTCTATTTAGAATTTCCTTTGATCTTTCAATAAATCAAAATAGACCAGACAGAAACATATGGTCAAAGGAGAGAATCTATAGGAAAAAGACACCTATATTAAGATTCTAACAGCCAAATATATCCCTATATACATAATACTGGCCCCAAATGTCTGCAGTCAATAGATATTGCCTTAATCTGCTCTCTGCCTATCTTTATCCACATTCTGCCTTGATGCCGTCCAGGTTTCCCATTTATGGCAAAATGACATACACACAAAAAATTGCCCTCGTACAGTTTTAAAAACATACACACAAACACACACACACACACACACACACACACACACACACAGCTAAGTCCTGATTCCAATGAATTCTAATGCAGCATTTGAATTTCTACTGCACAGTTCCACTGGGCTTAAATTAATTACTATATTTTATGTAATTATAATTTTGAACAGTATGAATACAAATACATGTGACTGCTTCCTGGGACTGATTATTTGTTCAAATTAGGACTGACCTGTACATGCATATATGCATGCATACATGCATAAACACATCTACATACCTCCACACATATACATATATTATTCTCTAGTATTGAGAATACACATATACTCTAAACACCACACATGTGTATATATGTATATATGCACACATATACATATATAGTCCATACATACATGTATACATGTGCACACACAGAGGTATATATGTACTACACACGCGTATATATAAAACACACACATATATGTGCTATATATATTTATGTATGTAAAATATACATGTGAACATATGGAACATTTACTGGAACATACATAATACAAATAACATAAATATAAAAATATATACATTTATATATTTAAGAAAAGAAGTAACATATTTTGTGTATGTATACATATATATATATATATGACTGTCATGTGATGATGTAATTTTGAATGGAAATGTAAGCTGAAGAGTACAATTAACTAAAGAACATTGGGCCATGTTTTCAATATTAAAATTCTTACTCCTGTCTGAGCCTTGGGCATAAAAGTAATTGACCTTTCTCTGTGAGCTTATCTAAGATCTGATGAGGGCCTGTTCCTCCCCTTGCTTAAGGGAGGCACTGGGATACAGGAGAAAGAATGTTGGCTTTGAAGTCAGAGGACCTGGGTTTAGATGGTGATTATGGAACCTAGTACTTTTGTGATCTTGGGCAAGTCTCTAAACTTCTCTGACCCTCAGTTTCCTCATCAATGGTTGGAATAGATGGCTTCTGTGGGTCCTTCTAGCTCTATAATCCAAGTAATTCTCATTGTACTTTTACCTGTGAAACCCTATGTCAAATGCTTGAGTTTTCTTGGTGACTCAAAACCATGATAGAAATTGGAACTTGAGGGTCTCTAGACTTCAGGCTTTGTCTTCAGAATGGCAATATGCTTCTACATTTTTATGGTCATCATCACCAATTCATGCTATATTTCTTTAATGGTCCCCACACAAGAGGTGATACCTACACAGTAGGAAATGAGCACTCAGAAGGCTTTGTGAATGTTGTGTGTGAGCTTGCAGATGGAGAAGAGACTTACTGTTGGCTGTAAAATTAACCTCCCCCTCCTGGGGAGTGGCATCTGCATCTTGGACTACTTGTAATTCTCCCACAGTTCGGACAGCGGGATCCAAAGTAACAGAACTTTCATTTACGGTTGTGTCACTTGCACCTGTAATCTGATTGGTTGGTGGCCCTCCTATGGATCCTTCAAAGTCCGGTGGGATGTCATCTATGCAGTCTGCATTGGGCTGGTTAAAAAAATAAAGAAAAACACTTGTGAGATTTATTTGCTATTAAAACCAGTGTTCACATAGGAAAGTAAAAGAATCTATTTTAGTATCTAAGACTCTAATTATATAACAGCTCTGAGCCTAGGTTCCTAGATTACAAATATGCTCAACAATGAGCATGTATTAATATGATTTGTTTTCTTCAAATAATAAAAAAAAATTCTTCATGGTTTTCTTTTTCACACCATATAGTTTACTAAATAATGTCTATATGATTTAAGTAAAATAAATATGGAAAGTTTCTTTATTCCTTCAAAATCCTCCATCTGAAATGGAGGGTCAGGTTGTGGGTGTGGCAAGTCTGGCAATGGCCACAGATGAAAACTCCTATAAAACATAACATATAGTTCATTGGTAGGAATGGTATTTTCTTTAAAATGTTTGTTCACAGATGAGATAACATTTGACAGTCAGATCATTATCCCCAAAGACTTATGAATTGTTTTTATCCTACAGACGAAGTATGGAGGGGAAAGGGTAGAGGAAGAGCAGAAAGAAATATGTTTGACTTATACCTAAGAATTACTGATTTAAAAAAGAAATAGATTGAGGTTTGAAAATCTCACATTCCAAAAGAACCTAGAACAAAACTTCTCACTGTCATATATGCAATGATTCATCACTGAAACACTCAAATTAAAATTCACAGAATTTTATGTATTGGAAAAACTATTGGAGGTCATCTCACCCAACCTTCCAACCAATGTAAAAATTTCTATATCAACCGTGATAGAAGGTTTTCTAGTTTCTGCATGAATATGTCCAGTGATGAGTAGCTCACTATTTCCTGAAGCATCTCATTTCATTGATGGACAACTCTAATTTTTATAAAATCTTCCTTAAATTAAGTGAAATCTTCTACCCTGTTACTCTCACTCATCTGTCTCAGCTCTTCCACATGGAGTTAAGACAAAAATGTCATTGCTCTTCTATGTGACAGCATATTAAGTATCTAAGTACAGGAGGCATATCCCTATCCTCTTCCCTTTCCCATCTCCTCCTCCAAATCTTATCTTAAAGAATATGTAACATAAAGAATGGAAATATCCTTATTTTCATTCTGTTCTTACTTGCAGTAGAGAAGGAGATTGCTCTGATATACTTCTCCATTATGCCTTCTGGCATAGATATCTTTGTATACTCCTGTTCAGATTGGAAATCCCAGCCTTTCTGCTGATGGGGTTTGGGTTTGGTGTTGCAGTCCAAGGAAAGAGTCCCCCATCACGATCGGCTTACAAGACCGTCCTTTCCCTTAAATTACTAAGGCTTGTCATTTTTAGCAGCTTGTATGCTCTATATGTGGCAAGATGAATGAGAAAAATAATAAAGGGGGGAATGGAGGGTAGGAGAGATGTGACTACTACTGATAAATGGTCATTCTCCAAATTGACCTCTGAGTGATGTGAAGATAAGGAGGTTAGAGACTGCTCATATGGGCAGTGTTCAGGAAGAGAAACCAGAATTAAAGGCAAAAATGAAATTTTTATTTAAACTTCATTAAAATGCAAATCTAATGAAAGATCAAAAATTATACAGTCCAATAGTGACAAAGCACTGAGGGAAAAGCCACTTTGATATATTACTGGTGAGACTAGTACAAAAGATTTGAAAAGCAATCTGCAATATGAAAAGAGTTGAAAAATTAATCATATCACTGGACCCAGAGTTTTTGTTGCTAGGATCCTATACCCACAACATAAAAAAGGGAAAATAAGGCCTATTTACACAAAATATTCATAGTTTCTCTATTTATAATAGTAAAAAAAAATTGGAAACAATCTCTATGCTGAAGAACTGGAGAATGGATGAATAAATTGTGATTTATTAAATGTAATAGAATATTAGGTGAAAAAAAATCAATAAATTTAACACATACAAGGAAGTGTGGAAAGAGAAATCAGGGGTGGTTCAGAGTGAAAGCAGTAGAACCAGAATGGTATTATATTCTGATTATGATGACAAATTAAAACAAAGAACTTTTTTTTTTAAGTAGGAAGAAACACAAGATCAAAGACCTTAAGAAGGGCTGGAGGGGAGGTAAAACAAACAAACAAAAATTGCTCATTTATTATTTGTTGATTGTTTTGATTCTGCCTTGTTAAAGGCTAGAGGCCTTGGGGAGGACCACCTCCCATCTTTGCCTTCTTGTTTTTTTATGTTCATTTGTCTTTTTTCTTGATGAGAGGTAAGTCTAATATTTTAAAGTGGAAGTGTGTTGTTGCTATGCACAGATGGAATACATAGCAGTGTTCTACCAAGTGTTCAGTGAACACTACATTTATAGAAAAAAAAAATTTGGAAGAAAAGTCCACATAAGGCAGATGCTTTTCTTTTCTAGAGAAGTGCCTGCATTTGTCCCCTCAGGTGAATCTATTTCAACATAATAAAAAAAATTTCTAATAAAATTTAATATGCTATCTCAAAATGCATTAGTGAGAAGCAGTGTATTAGAGTTAAATGAGTTTTGGACTTGTAGTTCAAGGGTTATTTATTTTTTCAAATTATGTATAAAAACAATTCTTAACATTCCTTTAAAAAATTTGTGTTTCAAATATTCTCCCTCCACCCTCTTCCCCCCTCATTGGGAAGGCAAGCAATTTGATGTAGGTTATAAAGACGCAGTCATGCAAACCATATTTCCACATTAGTCATATCGTGAAAGAAAACACAGACCAAAGAATAAAATCCAAGAAAAATAAAGAGAGTTTAAGAAAAAAGTATGTTTCAATATGCATTCACATTCTACCACTATTTCTCTGGATGTGGATAGCATTTTCCATCACAAGTCCTTCTGAATTGTCTTAGATCACTGTATTGCTGAGAATAGCTAAGTCATTTACAGTTGATGACTTTAAAATATTGCTGTTACTATGTAAAATGTTGTCCCGATTCTGCTCATTTCACTTTGCATCAGTTCATGTAAGTCTTTCCAGGTTTTTCTGAGGATGTTCTGTAGGTCATTTCTTATAGTATAATAATATTCCATCACAATCATATACTGCAATTTGTTCAGCCATTCCCCAATTGATGGGCATCCTCCCAATTTCTAATTCTTCGCCACTACTAAAACAGCTACTCTAAATATTTTTATACGTATAAATCCTTTTCCTTTTTCTTTCTGATTTCTTTGGGATACAGACCTAGTAGTGGTATTGCTGGGTGAAAGGGTATGCATGGCTTTATAGCTCTCTGACATAGTTCAAATTGCTTTACAGAATGGTTGAATCAGTTCACAACTCCAGTGTCTCAATTTTCCCACACCCCTTCCAACATTTGTCATTTTCTTTTTCTGTCTTATTAGCTAATCTGATAGGTATGGGGTGGTACAATACCACGTGATCTTGAACAAGTCTCCTACCTTCCCTGGGCTTCAGTTACCTTATCTGTAAAATAAGGGGATGGACCTAGATGCCCTCTGAGGTCTCTTCCAGCTCTAGATCTATAAGATTTATAAAATGAAGGGGTTAATGAGGTGATTTTCCAGTCTCTTTCAGCTCTAAGTCTATGATTCTTATTTTCCGGTTCATTTTTGTTTTTATGGCAAAGGGAATTTCTCTGATGTTGGTTGGAGGGCTAGTGTAGTAGTGGTAGCCACACTGGAGCCTCACCAAGCTACTCTGGGTAGGAATAACAGTTGTTTCATTGTATTAAACTCTACCACAAATGATACTGTAAATTATGAGAGCAGCAGCTTGCCTTCAATTTATTAGTTCACAGAGATAGTTGTGGAACTTCTTATCTTTGGATGCATCAACCTGAAGAGGAGCAAAGGAAGGTTTTTAAGAGATGTGAAAAGCTGAATTTCTGTAAGCAGGAACAGACAGAATTTTAGTTCAGATATAAGGAAGAATTCCCTGATAGGGAGGCCTGGAAGTTACTCAGAAAGGGAGTGGATGCTGAAGAATAAAAAGAGTCTATGGGAGAAGGAGGAAAATGTGGGACTCAATGGTCTCTGAGGGCTCTTTGATCTCTACAGATTCTGTGATTATGGCGGAGCCTCATCTGCTTGTGATAGTTTAGGTGTGGTTCTACCTACTGGCAGGATTAGATCATTTTTAAGAGTTCCTTCCTTCCTTCCTTCCTTCCTTCCTTCCTTCTTTCCTTCCTTTCTTCCTTCCTTTCTTCCACTCACTCATTCAGTGCCTAGATTATATCACCTCAAGAATATATCATTCATTCATTCAGTTTCTATATTATAATGCCTTAAGAATACTTCATTCATTCATTTCCTTGATTAGCTCATCTCTTAAGAGCCCTTTTCAATTATTTATTCATTAATTCATTGATCATTTACTACATGTCAAGCAGTGGGATACAAACAGAAACAAAACAATACCCATTGTTCTCAAGGACCTTACTAGGGGGAAAAAACCCAAGTGTACATATGAGTAAATGCACAGTAATTTCTGGGGTAGAGAGCACTAGCAATGGGGGGGGGGGAAATCATGGAAAAGCCCTAAGTCAAGTCTTGAAGGAAGCTGTAGATTCTTAGAGGTGAGGGTAAACTGTGAATACATGCCAGCCATGGGGGACTGCCCACATAAAGGCATGGAGATGGGAGATAGATTATCATCTATAGGGAACAGCAAAGAAGTCAGTATAGTTAGAATGCAGAGTAAATAAAGGGAGATATTTATAAAAAGTCTTGAAACATAGGTATTGGTTGTTTTTGTTCAGTCATTTCAGTTGTGTCCAACTCTTCCTGACCCCATTTGGGTTTTGTTTTGTTTTGCAAAGATACTGGAATAGTTTGCCATTTCCTTCTTCAGCTCATTTTACAGATATGAGCAAACTGAGGAAAACAGGGTGAAGTGACTTACCCAGGGTCATATAGCTAGTAAGTGTCTTGAGGCCAGATTTGAACTCAGGAAGATGAGTCTTCTTGACTCCAGACCTGGCACTCTATCCACTGCACCACTTAGCTATCCTACTAAAAGGTAAGTAGGTTGCAGTTCAATTGTTAAAGGCTTTAAATGACAGTGAAGTTTGTTTTTTAATCATAGGGGTAAAAGGGAGCCACTGGGGATATTTCAGGACAGGAGTAACATGAAGAAAAGAAGGCTTTAAGAATGTTTATTTGATAGGACCAATTTTTATTTGCAGCTTGGGTTTTTGTATGAAATTACGTTGTTATTGTGGAATAAACTGCCACCTTCAGGTATATACACTGGTAGTCTAGACTGACTTACTTTGGTCTGATCATTGATTGGTTAAAAAGTAAATGGAATTGCTGTTTTAATACTGATATTTGGATGAGGGTTGGAAGTTTTATAAGCTAAAATAGTTGAAATAGACACATTTCAAATTTTAAAACCTGCATTTGGCCTGTCACACTCTTGCTGTGGAGTAAATCTGCCTTGTGCTCTAGTCATCCAAAATATGTGTGACCAAGCTGTCAGTTCAAAGCACAGAACTAACCTGTATGTTCACTTAAAAAAATAAAAAACAAAAAACAAAAACAAAAAAAGAATGTTTATTTGGCAATTGTGTAGAGGATGGATTGATGAGGGGAAAGATTTGAGTCAAGTAGAAGACTATCATAACATTCCATGAAAGAGCTGATAAGGCTTGATTTATGGAAATGGTTGCATGAGTGGGGTAGAAAGGGATTAATTTGAAGAATATTATGGAGGTAGAATTTGATAAACTTTGCACCTGATTGACATCTAAGATGAAGAGGCAAGGTTGGCTTTAAGGGTGTGAATGTAGCAAGGGTGACTGCAAGGATGGTAGTGCCCTCAAAAGAAGGAGAGAAGGAAGTGAGGGAAGGGATGAACTTTTTATAGGGTGGGGAAGGTAATGAATTCTGTTTTGGACCCATTTATGATTTCATACCTCCAAATACTGGAGAAAATTCAGAAATAACCTGGATCATTTTTCAGTACCCCTCAAAATGGATGCTTTGAGAAAGCACAGCAGTTACCCAGCATGGTTTGTAAGCAGCAGAAATTAGAGATGCTTCATTTTTCAGAGGCTGTTCTGTTTTCAATTGTGTATATTGATAGTACTTTTTGGTTAACTGTTCTGCTAGAAAAGGTGAGGGACATCACTTATTCCAGTATAATTCTGGTGTCACTTTTCTAGAATAATGGCACTTGGTCATTATTCAGTCAATTCTGAATAAAGTTTAGTTCAAATTTGGCAAATACACTGAATCAGGGCTAAGATCTCTGAGCCTTGCTTCCTTCAGCCATCATACTTGCAAGTTTCAGAAATAACCTCAAATGAAACTATTTTAAAGAATGAATAAGAAACTCTTATCTTATTTTCACATACACTTTACAGAGGTCTCTGGAAGTCTACAGGATGGGCAGAGAAAATGCTAATTAGACCAAGAAGCTAAATATTAGAGACTTTGGTGTTTCTGGTCATATTCTGATGGGAGAGTTATAGAACTATTTTTGTTATGACTGATGATGGTAGCAATGAAAATAACTCCCATTTCTATGGTACTTAAAAGTTCTTGTTACGCACCTTCTTCCCAACTTGTGGATAGAGACAATGCAAGAAGTTTTGAAAACATAAATTACTGGCAAGAGAAACCATTCCAATGGATCACATCCAGTGGATCTTCAATCTGGAAGGGAACTCTGAGCCCAGCTGGTCTGAGACACACCTGAACAAGAATCTCCTCCATGTATCCCTGATGAGTGAACTCTAGTGATTAAAGGGGAACCCACTACTTCCCATGGCCAACTTTACTCAATAATAAATTTTTCATGATATGAAGTGTAAATTTGTCTCTTTATACCTCCGAGCTATTGCTCCTAGTCCTGACCTCAATCCAAGCAGAACAAGTGTAGTCCCGTTACCATGCGATGACTCTTTAAATACTTGAAGAAAGCTACTATGCTATCAAACAAATGTCTTCATTAGTTTTGAAGTACTGCAAAGATTTGGAGCCGAAATATCTCTCACATCTTCTCTCTCTCTCTCTCTCTCTTTCTCACTCTCTCTCTCTCCCCCTCCCTCCTTCTCTCTCCATCCCCCTTCCTATCTCTCCTGTCTCTCTCCCCCCCTCTCTTCTCTCCTCTTTTTCATTCTCTTTCTCTCTCTCTCCCCCTCCCTGTCCCTTCTCTCTTCCCCTCCCTCACCTCTCTTAAGAGGCAGCTTGGCACGGTGAATAGAGTTATGGACTCTTAGTCCAGAAAAATCTGGGCTCATGTCTCACCTCTGACATTTACTAATAATGTAACCCTGGCTAAGTCACTTAAATTCTCTGGGTCTCAGTTTCCTCATCTGTAAAACGAAAGGGTTGGACTAAAAGGTTTCAAAAGGCCCATCTGGCTCCAAATTTATGATTCCTTGTAAAAAGTGCTTAGTACAGTGCCTGGCACATAGTAGGTACTATATAAATGCTTATTCCCTCCCTCCCCAGCCCAGCTCCTTTCAATCTTTCCTATTTCTCTATCTATATAAATATAATCACATATATTAGAGCCTTTTGGATTTGTAATTTCGTGGCTGTAGGGAATGACTAATGTGCAAATCCATCCTTAGATGCAGACCAACAACTCATCTATGACTCAATCTTCCGAGAATTGCCCAGGCAGGCACTGAACCCAGGTCTTCTTGACCACAAGATCAACCCTCAGTCCATGACATTCTACCTCTCCTATACCTCATGTTGTTGTTTTTGTTCAGTTGTGTCCATCCCTTTGTGACTCTGTGGACCATACTGTCCATGAGGTTTTCTTGGCAAAGACACTGGAGTGGTTTGCCATTCCCTTCTTCAGGGGATTAAGGCAAAGAGAAGTTCAGTGACTTGCCCAGGGTTGGATATGAACTCAGGTCTTGACTCTAGGCCTAGCACTCTATCAACTGAATCTCTGTATCTCCTGTAAATGCACATAATTTTTTAAAAATTTTTTTTTACAGAAACTAGACATAGCCTAAGTATAAGCAGAGGAAATTCTTGATACATTGAGTTCTAAGAGCGTTTTTCTAAGGCACACACATGGGGGGTGATAGCCTGGGTTTTGAGCCATCTTTTCTACTCATAATGGATCTTCCTCATGCAGCCTGTATTTATGACCACAGACTGACAATTTAGTGGTCTGCTCCTCCAATGCCTGTCCGGTTCTGTATTCACACAAGCTGATTTGTGTTGTGAGCATAAACCATTGCGATCAGCACACAGCTAGCATGAAGGCAGCTGGGACATGAGAAGAAAAGCCATGCTAAATGCATGTCATTGCAATCTATCACTGCCCTTCAAGGCGCCCCCTCTTCCTTCTCTACTGTCACTAAAGCTCTAGCAGAATCAAAGAGTTAGCCCAATTTCTTCCTTTCAATGATGATTCTTATCAAAGTTTCTTTTTCATTAACATCAAGGGATGGTTCATCCTCCTTTCATCTCACTGTCATCATTTGGAGTGAAGGGTGACAAGGGTAAGGCAGGGGAAAAGGGGGCAGGGTAGGGAGGGAAGGATTGCTATCTGGGGCTCCTGTCCTCATTATGGTCTGGCTTTTTTCAAACACCGCCTTTTGTTTAACTCTCCTCTTTCTTGCACAACCCTGGGATCTGGGAGTTTGGCCTGGTGCCTGCCCTCATCTGTTCAGGAAGAACGTACATATAACAGCTGGTGGTTCACTAGCCACCATTGTTAGTGGGCTAAACTTGACACGGTCCTGGAAAAGTCTTTTTTTCCTCAGCTTGAAGCCAGCTGGCTGGAGTCTCCTCACTGGGGGAGACACTGAACTTTTTATGGATATATGGAACTGAGGGGATTAGTCTGACAGCTGAGTGGAAACTAGGCCTTGCTTCCAATATCCTGGACACTGAAGAATCCACACACAAATCTTTATTTAACAGCTAAACAGAGTCTCTGAGGCATTCTCTCCCATCACTGCTGTGCTCCCTCATGTTGTTAGGAAGGCTGTATGCCAGCTTCTGAAGTGGGTTGAAGACTAGTATTCAGGTTGGACCCAGAGAATCAAGTAACATTAAAAAAAAAGCAATCGATGCAATTCCCCTTTGGTGTTGAACAGGTGATAGAAATACAATAGATGTATTACATAAGTGAACACAGATCCGTGCTTTCCTCACTTTTGTGAACTCTCACTATTCATGCAAATCATAACCAGAATAGGACTTAGTAGAGGCATTTCTTGATATTCCTAGAGGTTAAGCAACTTGCTTAAGGTCACACAGAACCTAAGTGTCAGAGGTGGGATTTGAACCCAGGGGTTCTAGACTTTAGGCTCAGTGTTCTTCTCACTGTACCTGTCTCATTGTTAACAAGAAAAAGAGAATGGTAATTGTATTAATAGCATCTTGACACTGAAGGATAATGATAAAAATGAAACAGTGGCTGGGAAAACCCCTAGTGATGAAAGTGCTCATGATGAGAACAAAATGGGAGGAAAGATGCCCCCAGACATAGGAGCTCATGTGGGGTTAACTCAAATGGTGTCACTCCTGTGACATCCCTATCCTGGGGAGGGCTACAATGGAGCACTCAGAAGAAGAAATTCCCAGGCAATGACTTACGATTCTTTTCCCTTTTGTGTTCATGAGCAGGTAGAAAAGAAAAGGAGGAGATGGGTATGTGAGGGGGAGTTGCTTACCGGGATACCTAGGGCCTTAAGGATGTTCATCTTGCACATGGGACAGGTTCGATGGTCTAACAGCCATGGGTCCACACAGGATTTGTGGAAAAGATGCCTGCAAGAAGAATCATAGAATTTTAGCCCTGGACATCATTCAGTCTTTCCCACTTCCCCATGAGGACCCTGAGACCAATCAAGGTGAAGTGAATTGACCAAAGTCACAATGGAAGAATCATGTCCAGGACTGAAGCCCCCATCCCTTTATTGTTAGTCTAGAATTCTTTTTTTGGCAGCTAGGTGATACAGTGCACAGAGCGCTGGGCCTGGAGTCAGGAAGACTCATCTTCCTAAGTTCAAATCTGGCATCAGATGCATACTAGTTATATGACACTGGGCAATCACTTAACCCTGTTTGCCTCAGTTTCCTCATCTGTAAAATGAGCTGGAGAAGGAAATGGCAAATCACTCCAGTATCTTTGCCAAGAAAACCCCCAATGGGGTCATGAAGAGTTGGACACAACTGAAACAACTGAATAATAGTGGTTTTTTTGTCATGATAACAGAAATATGTTAAGAATCTTATTTATCCTGGTTCAAGAGGGTGTGAATGTGAGTGTGAGTGTGTGTGTGTAAGTTTTGCCTAACAACTTTCAGAAAATGTGGGGCATGTGGAAGCAGGGAGGCTTCTCTCCTGCTCTAGCATGACAGGAACATGGCAGCTTCCCATCATCACCAGGAAGAATGTTAGTGGACAAATATACAAAGACAAGCATACAGAATGCCTTTTTATTCCTTCTTTTGGATACAGTAGAAAGAAAGCTGGATTTAGAGTCTGAAGATTGTCTGAGCCCCTGTCCTGTCATTTACTAACTCTACCATTTACTTCTCCCAGTCTTAACTCATTTCCTAATCCGTAAAATGGGACTAATGTTGGACTGCCCACCTCCTTGGGCTGTTTTGAGGATCAAGTGAGATAATTTGTATAAAGCCCTTTGTAAATTGCAAAGTGCTATATTAGTTATTATTATTATTATCCTCAAATAAGACAGCTGTCTCTGCCATACTCTCAAGTTATAACACAAAAAAATTGGTAAATTCATATGTGTGCTACTATGAAGATGTTATGAGGAATCAAAGAAGGGAGATTATTTTTGGTTGGGGTATCAGAGAAGGCTTCATGAAAGAGGAGACATCTACGCTAGACCTTAAAAGATGGACAGGACTTCAGAAGGCTAAATTGCAGAAGAGCATTTTCCAGATGGAAAGAACTATTCCAGCAATAACATAGAGGTAGGAAAGTGCAGAATATGTCCAAAGAGCTTTCAGGAACATAGTATGGTAGGAACAGAGACTAGAAAGGGGAAAATATCATGAGATAAAGTAGTTTGGAGCCAGATTATAGAACACCTTGAATGCCAGACTAAGGAAAATGGTCTCTACTCAGTAGTCAGTGGGGAAAGTGAGTGATTTATCTGACTAAAGAATATAGAACAGAGTGGAGAGGTGTGGGGCCTGATGGCAGGTTGATTGACTAGGTGACTAATTTGATAGGCCAAGTGAGATTAAATAGTGGCCTGAACTGGAGGGGACAGATAGAAGAGTTACTGCAGAAGTAGAATCCATAGACTTGCTAACCAACTGGAGGTTAAGAGTTAGGGACAGGAGAAGTCAAAGGAGCCCCTGAGATTTCTAGCCCAAGTAAGTGGGAAAATAAGGAATTATTAACAGAATTAGTAAAGTCAGGTAGAGGAACAATATTTTTTGGGGGGGGCAAAGGGGGAGAACTATGATGTCTTCTTTTGGACATTCCCTTCAATCCAATTCAGGTAACATTTATTAAGTACCAGTTACATGCCAGACACTGAGCTGGGTATTGGGGATATAAAGACCAAAAAAAAAAAATGGGAAGAAGAAATGGTTCCTGCCCTCAAGAAACTTACATTCTAATTAAGAAGATACAACATACATGCAAATAAGTAAATACACAGTAATTTTAAGAGGGAAAGAGTAATAAGACTTATTTCTAATATCTTTTTATTTCTATTGCCTCTTAATTCTAGTGACTTCCCTCTGGTAATTATTTTCCATTTATCCTGCATATAGTTTTGCTTTTTTTTTTTTTTTGCATGTAGTCTCCCACTTCGACCGTAAACTCCTTGAGTGCAGGGACTGCCTTTTGTCTCTTTTTGTATCCCCAGAACTTGGTACGGTTCCTGGCACATAATTAAATATCCAGTTTAATAAATGTTGATTGATTCATAACTCTTGGGAGCGGGGACAGGGAGGACACGTGCCATTTACAGTGCTAGCATGACGTTTAGGTCCATGTCTAGCAGGAAGTTAGAAATATGACTCTGGAGGTTAAGAGAGAGGTCAGGGCTGGAAAAAAAGAGATCTGGAAGTCATCTGTATAGAGGTGATCATTGGATAAGATGGCCAAGGAAGGAAGTAGAGAAGAAAAGTGAGAAAGATAACTTTGTAGGAAGAGAAGTCATTGAAGGATGAAGGGTAGGAGCAGTTGAAGATGTAGAAACAAAAGTAGGAGAATAGTGTCTGGCCCTTCATTTCTAAGCCGCCATCCTTGGTCAGACCTTTATCCCTTCATGTCTGGACTACTGAAGTAGTCTTCTAAATGACCTCCCTGCTTCTGGTCTTCCACCCTTCCCATCCACCTTGCGCAATGTCAGTAGATGAGTCTTCCTAAAGCACAGGTTGGTGTTAATCCCCTGCTTAAAAATCCTTAATGGGTCCTCTTTGCCTACTAAGTCAAATACCATCAGTGTAACCATGTGTACCTTGTCTTTACTTTATGTCATTTTCAGGATGTGGAAAGGAAGTCATCGACTCAAAAGGAAACAAGGGGATAGCAAAGGTCAAAAGAAGGATTGAAAAGATAAAACACATAATTATTCTAGTCCAGGGGCATGCTGGAGCTAGCTTGAACTCGACATATGTTAAATTTTCAGCATGAACATCTGATATACCTCAGAGATCAGCAAATGCTACAAATTAGGGTTTGATTCATTGTTCTGTTGATTGTCTAGGCTTTAGAGAGTGATGGAGAAAAATGTTTATAATGCAGAATATACTAAAAAAAAAAATGAGTAGCATGTACTTTTTCCCCAACCCAGAGAGTCAGTTCTCAAAAATTTACCATCACATCCATGCTTGTTTTTAACAAATATGCTGAGTGCCAACAAGGCAGGATGAAAGGATTGAAAGCTAGAAAGGGCAGGAGGGATGACCTAGTTCAGTTCCTTCCTTTTACAGATGAGGAGACTGAAACCCAGAGAGTTGAAGTGCCACACAGGTAGCAAGTGCCACATAGGGGGTAAGCAGCAGAGCCTGGATTCTAACTGTGATTCCTCTGACTCCCAATACAGGGCCTCTCCTACTACTCATCTTTACATAGTATTTGTCGCACACACCATAAAATCAGATACTCTTAGAATCCTTTATGCTGGGCTGCAATCTACATTCCTTACCCTGTCCCTAAACAGAGAAGAAAAATCCAAGAGAGCAGATGGATGAACACTTAAAAAACAGAACCAGGAGGGAAGGGCACCCAAAGTCTAAAGAAGAAGTCAATCAACCAATAAGAGACATTTGTTAAGCATCCATTATGTCAGGCGCTGTGTTAAGTACTGAGATACAAAGATCCAAATAAAAATCTCCTAGAGTATAGCGTCTACGCACTTTCTCCCTGCTTTGTACAGTTCCCGGCATTTGTCATCACCAATAAACACTGTTAGCAGGCCCTTTGACAAATGGCCATATGAACAACTAGACACACTATTTTCTTCCCTGAAGAGAGGAAATGGTCATAAGCTGCAATGAGAAATGGACTCATGAACACAGGAGAGAGTCAGCAGGAATGTTGATTAAGGGAAACTAAGAGCCAGTGAAGTTCTCCTTCCTTTTTCTGGTGAGGGGAGGAAGGATGTCCAGACCTGTGATTTTATCGGTGTGAGGAAACACCCTCCGCCATGCAGAAGGAGAATTTATCTAATTTATGAGCCTAGAGGAATTGCCAGGAACAACTAGAGTTTAAGTGACTTGCCACCCATGATTTTGTTTGTTGTCTAATCTTTTTAGTTGTGTCTGACTCTTTGTGACCCCATTTTGGGTTTTCTTGGTAAAGAGACTGGAGTGTTTTGCTGATTCCTTCTCTAGCTCATTTTACAGATGAGGAAACTGAGGTAAACAGGGTTAAATGACTTGCCCAGGGTCATACAGGTAGCAAGTGTCTGAGATCAGATTTGACCTCATTTGAGTTTTTCTGACTCTAAGCCCAGCACTCTATCCACTGCACCACCTAGCCACCCCTAATCATGTCACCCATGATCACACATACCAATTATAAGTGAGAGGCAATATTTGAACCCATGTCTTCTTGGATTTTAAGGCCACCCCACCAGCCCACTTTGTCTCCCCTTTTACACACATTCAAATAGGAGACATACATAGGATGCATAGTTCTCTACTTTTAGGCTCAATGGAACAGTAAAAACCTTAGAGAAGAATCAGGCTTTTTACAAACATTAAATAAAGCTAATCACAATTATATATTTACATACACATACATACATGTGTATAGAGTCTTTATATAAGTCTATGCATACCTATGTACACGCATGTATGTATATGCTTATACACAGATAAGTTTCATTTGTTTTCTTGGAAACTTGGAGGAGTGGTGGTGTGGTGGTCTCTCTTGCCTAGGCTGGAAGCGCAGCAGCTACTCATGGGTCTGATCCCACTGCTGATCACAAGAAAGCACTGACCTGCTCCATTTCCATTTCTTTTCTTTTTTTTTTTTTTTTTAGTGAGGCAGTTGGGGTTAAGTGACTTGCCCAGAGTCACACAGCTAGGAAGTACTATGTGTCTGAGGCCGGATTTGAACTCGGGTCCTCCTGACTCCAAGGCCAGTGCTCTATCCACTGTGCCACCTAGCTGCCCCTCCATTTCCATTTCTGACCTGAGTCAGTCTGTCCTTCATCAAGCAGCCTGGCGGCCCCTCACTCCCCATGGGACTTATCAATATGGTACCTGACTTGAGTGCACTCACCTGATTGGCTTTACCAAATTGGTACCTGACCTGAGTGTGGATGCCTG